TTAAAAAAATCTAAAATTCGTATTCTTATTTAGCTCTTTTCTCGTAGCTGCAATCCATCGAAAACTTCCTAAATTTTTAAGCATATCGATGCAAATTCACTGAACAAAAACCTTCTTAAATGGCCAACAAAAAAAAAAAAAAAAAACTTCCTAAGTTTATAAGGTTTAGGCCAGACACAGCAATCTTGGACTAGGAAATATTGCACATTCAGAAAAATTAACCAACTCATATAACATGGTTATACTTATATAGCAGGATATACATCATGTACACACAAAAAAAAAAAACAATAATAGTTCTAGAAAATGTTCTATAACACACACACACACGAAAAAAAGGGAAATTATATTGGGGTTTATGCTAATTCATGTTTGGTATGGTTAGGCCGATCTTGAGACCAGAATCGTTTTAATCGAACCTAACGGCAAACGCCTCTTTTTTCTGGGCTTCCCGCTCTACAAACTTCAAAAAAAAAAAGGGAGAAAACTTCTTACAAGTCCTAAAACCATTTAGATATTGGCAAATAAACCTTGCCATATTCTTTGGGTGAATCATCCTCATAGCTTATGAAATTGCAAAGGTCAAAGTTAATCATGAAGGTCATATTTCATGTGTGACCATATGCGCAAGAGAGTGCGTTTTTGTGTAGAAAGGTGAAATAATCCTTCTAGAATAAAAGACATCGTGTTAATCAGACTAAGCAAAATGATATTATCGCAATCTCCATGTGGCCTACTAGTGGTCAAACTGTCCATTAGATAGCAAATGAAATGCACGTTGATTATGAATTTGATTTTTTCAAGAAATAGATACTAATTAATCTAATCTAGAATTTTTTATTGTAAAAAAAAAAAAAAGGAAAAATGATATTACCAATTCACATATTAAGAGAAAAACTCTTTACAAACATAGAGAGGCAAGTGGAGTAATTATTAATGGTTTTGCAACGACCAAGGCATTTGGACTCCAATTTCAGCAAATCCCTTAGAGTCCACAAGTCAATGGAGCACAATAGATGGTTGTTTGCCTTTCAAAAAACATAAATAAATAAGAAAAATGACATCTTGTTAATCAAACTAAGAAAAAATAATATATTCACAAGTTTAAGAAAAAAATTCTTCACAAACATAAAGAGGCAAGTGGAGCAATTACTAATGGTCTTGCCACGACCAAGGCATTTGGACTTCGACTTCAGCAAATTCCCTAAAGTCAACAAGTTGGTGGAACTCAATAGATGGTTGTTTACCTTTCAAAAAATATAGATAAATAGATGGTTGTTTGTAGTTTGGTTAAAGAGATTTGCTCTTTGACTTATTTTAATTAAGATTTAGTTCATTCATACGTAATTCTTATATATTCTTAAAGATCATAAATTGACATTAAATAATTATAAAATGTAAAAATAATCTGGTAACATTGTCATATAACATTTAAAGCTGCACCTGACCCTTTTAGTCTAGTCACATTAACTACTTGATAGGTGCATCCACCAACCCCTTGGAGTTGGATTTGATCCTCCACCCACCATTTCAAATCTGTTCAAAAAATATAACATTTAAAGTTTACAACATAATGTTTCAATATATAATTGTTTCTTTTCACCTGTGGATCCACTCATGATGTTTTACTCATTTAATGACTCAAACTTAATTAATTCTACATCATAATTATAAACTCAAAATTCTATATAACATTATAATTATATCAATGCTATATAAAATGTTATCAATTTATCAAATTCAAAAGTTTGCAGTAAAAGCTGCAAATTTTTAAATTACGTATTCTACTAACAACTAGGTGGTTGGATTTTGGTTATTCCTACTCTAATATCGTTTCCACAAATTTTGGTCATGTTGGTAATGAAAATTGATCGATTGGTAGGTTTTTGAAATTTTTGTCAGGACATGGAAAGTATGCACATTTAACCAAACTGGAAAAGGCTGACAACCTTAAACTGTTCAAGGCAAACTTGCTGGACTATGATTCACTTTATTCTGCAATTGAGGGATGCTGTGGTGTCTTCCATTTTGCAAGTCCACTTCCCACCACTGCTGTACAGAATCCTAAGGTATGTACTCCAAAATCAAATTCGTTCAATATACAATGTCGAGATTTTGTGTAGTAAAGTAATAGATGTGGCCCTTTTTTTGTAAGGGTCCTTAAGAAGACGTTGTTGGGATTATATTTGGCATGCTATTCTTGGAACTAGTTATTTCTTTTTCCTCTTCTTCATGGACGATTATATTGCAGGTTGAACTGATTGAGCCCGCAGTTAAAGGCACACTTAATGTACTTAAAGCATCTCTTGCGGCTGGAGTAAAGTGAGATGTTGTTGTGTCCCCTGGAGCTGCTGTTACCATGAACCCTAGTTGGCCTAAAGATCAAGTGAAGGATGAGACCTGTTGGTCAGATAAGGAATTACAGAAAAAAGTGGAGGTAACTGACCAGAAAATTGAAACATAAAGTGCAAATTAGAGGAACATTTGTAGTTTTGGCATATAGGGATCTGATATGACATGATACTCTAAATATATATGCTAAATCATCATTCTGTTTTTTTTATCAGAACTGGTACGGTCTCACCAAAACAGAAGCAGAAAGTGCAGCTTTAGATTTTGCAAAAACAAGTGGGCTTGATGTTGTGACTGTCTGTCCAACTCTTGTTTTAGGGCCAATGCTGCAATCCACATTGAATTCAAGTAGCATGTTTCTCATAAGGCTGTTAAAAGGTACCTCCTTGTGGACTAGGTGCAGCACATCATTATTTTGTGATTTCATTCTATATTTTACTTCTATAAGGAGAGATTTTTTGTGATATTTCTATGCAGAGGGCTATGAATCGAGGGAGAACAAGCTGCAAAAGATTGTGGATGTGCGCGATGTTGCTGAAGCATTACTTCTTGCATATGAAAAACCTGAGGCTGAAGGGAGATACATATGTGTGGCACACATGTTGATGGCCACGGATTTGGTGGAGAAGCCAAGGAGCATTTATCCTCACTACAATTATCCTAAAAGTTAATTAAGTCACTAAGTTCGTTGCTTTTGCTCTACTGAAAGGAACCTTTCTTGTCTAGTATTAGTTATTTATTATCAGTTGTATTAGGATTTGTTTGTTAGATAAACACTTGATGAGACCTTATGTGCTTAAGTCCTCGCCAATAATTTTTTTTTTTTGGCAATGCACATCTTACCCATTTGATCTGTTGGGTAGCTTCACTGAGGGAAGAGAAGAGCCAAAAATGAGCTCAAAGAAACTTCAGAACCTTGGTTGGAGTTACAGATCCCTAGAGGAAACTCTCATCGATTCCATTGAAAGCTATCGAACTGCTGGACTTGTGGACTGGCAATGGCTTTATGCACTCTTATATGTCATTTCAATTGAAGACTGGATAATTTTCACAATAGAAGGTTAATGAAGCAGTTTTGCAGTGACTGCAAAACGTTCCTGGATTAGGATCTTACTTGTCATTGTTTGTGTCTTGGATGTTCTATGCAAATTAATGCAATTACCTTGGTTTGCATATCTGTATTGTTGTACCATAATATATGTCATGTCTATGATCCCAAAAAATGGCATTCATCACTCATTCTGTATATATTCTATAGTAATCTACTAAGAAGACGACCTAGGCCACCTAGCAATCCAGCAAGGAGACAATTGCTAATACAAAAAAAAATAATAATAATAATAATAAATGATAATAAAAATAAATAAATAAATAAAGGAACGAAAGAAATATTACATTCAATGGAAAGAGATCTCCTCAACAACAAGAGAAGGAAAGAAATCCAAGCAGTTATGGTACAATCTAAAGTCAGGAAGCAAAAAAGGAAACCCCTTGATCATCTCTTGTAATAAATGTAAACATTCTCGTTAGTCAATTCAATTCCTTGAATTTAAAAAGTGAAGAGACAACCTTACCTCTATCCTGTTCAGAAGAAACAAAAATCCAACAATTTGTATTACATATTATATTATCTTGATCAAAGGAATCAGTTTTGCACTAGAACCAGGAGAGCTTAAGACAGAAAGTCAACCGAGTAAGGTCTGGTAATGGCGACGGTGAAGGAAAGAGTATGCGTAACAGGTGCTGGAGGGTACCTTGCCTCTTGGGTCATCAAGTTTCTCCTCTCTAGGGACTACGTTGTCCATGGCACCGTCAGAGAATCCGGTTAGTTAATTTGCCTTTCCTCCTTGCTTGGTTGTGATGTATAAGTTATTTCAACCGTGAATTTTATTTACTTGGTCCATTGATTTATCCAGGAGACGACAAGAATACCCATCTGAATGAACTTGAGAAAGCATCTGAAAATCTTAAACTTTTTAAGGCAGAGTTAATGGATTATGAGTCCCTTCTTTCGGCCATTGAAGGCTGCAGTGGTGTCTTCCATGTTGCCTCCCCAGTGTTGATGCCCTCCTCTTTTTCAAATCCGGAGGCAAGTAGATAGTAATCTATCTTCATTGCATCAAGCTATGCATATCATGTCTACATTTTGCATAGAATTGCTAATCTGTTGCCTTTAACTTGGTCACATAACTTTTAGGTTGAAATGGTTGAACCAGCTGTAAAGGGCACCCTTAATGTGCTTAAGGCATGTCTTGAGGCCAAGGTTAGACGGGTTGTTGTTGTGTCCTCTCGAGCTGCCATTTCATTTAACCCTAAATGGCCCAAGGGGAAAATCATGGATGAGACTTGTTGGTCTAATAAGGAATACTGCAAAGCTGAGAAGGTAAGTAACTGGAAAGGGTTGTTTATGTTTCACAGAAATGGATAATTAAAAAGGAATGTCTTTCTAAGAATTTTGGATGATTTTTGAATCCCATGTTTGTATCAGTTATGGTACAAACTTTCAAAGACAGAATCCGAGATTGAAGCTTTGAAGTTTGCCAAAAGCTCCGGGCTTGATGTTGTGACAATTTGTCCTTCCCTTATTTTGGGGCCAATGCTACAATCTACCATTAATGCAAGCAGCTGGACTCTCATTAACCTTTTGAAAGGTTTGCTTTTTTCCATACCATATGTTCATTGTTAGATGTACAAATGGTTCTGAGGTCAACTCTTTCTTCATTTTTTGGATTTGGGGTGAAGTGTTGCACAAGTAAAATGCTAGTCTTTGATGAAATTCTGTAGTTAAAATTCTGACACATTGGACAATCTTCCTCAGTCTATTGCGCACTTGCCTTTGGTGCTGACTTATTAGTATGCTAGAATAACTTAAATGTAATGTTGCTAGAACTCAGTTTACACTAGAATTTCAGGCTTGCTTAGTTAGGTTTATGGTTCAAGTGGTGTTCTAGGCTATACAGTGTTCTTATTTCTGTTTTTCATTGCTATTTAGAGGAGCATGAATCATTGGAAAACAAACTCTGGAACATAGTAGATGTGCGCGACGTGGCTGATGCATTGCTTCTGGCATATGAGAAGCCTGAGGCTGAAGGCAGATACATATGCACAGCTGATGCAATCAAGTCCAGTGATCTACTTGATAAATTAAGGACTCTGTATCCTAACTGCAATTATCCTAAAAGGTACTAAGCCACATTCTGCATAGAATGAATTTAAAAGGAGTAGCATCAAATATAATTTCAAGATTTATCCTGGAGAACTTGATTTTCTTTGCACTCTTTCTAGAACTTCAAACTTGCTTGTCTTTCCTAGCAGATTCACTGAAGGAGGAAAAGATGAATTGCTGAGTTCAGGAAAGCTGCAGAGACTTGGTTGGCGTTTTCGGCCCCTGGAAGAAACTCTCATTGATTCCATTGAGAACTATAAGAAAAAGTCTGGAATCTTTGATTGGAAGTAGTCATTACTTACACACAGTTTTATCTTCACCAAAATGAGGAGTACAGGGGACACGTCCTCTATGTCTATGATTTGAACTGTGGAATAAACCATGTCTAATTCTTACAGCAAAAAACGTATTTGGTCTAATTGTACCCTCCTTTTTTTTTTCTTTTTAAGTGTTTTTTTTGGTGGAATTCTTTTTAAGTGTTGAATGATTTTTAAATGATCAATTCATAAAAATAATTATAAAGATTTTAGAAATTCAAGCTTTTTTGATTCACACAGATAAGTAGAGCTTTCTCATTTCCTCGGGTACACATTGCATAATATTACTGGGCAACTCTTCCACCCAATATTCATCATCATCATCATCATTTGTTAAGCCTCTTTTTGCCAACTCATGGGCCACACTATTCCCCTCTCTTCGAACATCCTGCAAAAGAGCACTCTTCTAAACTACTTAGTAGCCTTTGACAATCTTCAAGAATCATTTCCAACTCTGACAGCCCACTTCAATCTGTAGCACCACTCACCACACATGCTGCATCACCCTCCACTTCTACCTGTTGGAGACCCAACTCTGCCATCCAGCCAAGCGCTTTCCTGAGGTTATAAACCTCCACCACCACCGTTGGTAAATACCCATTCCTTTACAAATTACAAGCCATGGCAGCCACAACCTGCCCCCATCCCATACACCCCTATCTGCTCATTCAAAGCCCCATCGACATTCATTGTGTAACGCCCAGCCCCCGAAGGTATCCACCTACCCACCCTCCTATAGCCATTATACCTCGAAGGATTATAATGGGTCTCTGATTGCTTAGTCTTAAAGGCTGAGAGGATGATTTTGCATGCCAATGAACATTAATGAAAATCATATATTACCGTGCAGTAATGTTTCTCAGTCTATACCTGCACTTAAAAACATCAATGTGGATTGAAAAATAAAAGGTATGTATAATTTGAATAAAAGTACCATAACAGGGGAACATATTTCCCATTTTTCTTCAACTCATATATTACCGTGCAGTAATGTTTCTCACAGTCTATACCTGCACTTAAAAACATCAATGTGGATGAAAAATAAAAGGGGCAAAAACCAACAGAACGCCATTCAACTTTTCGAGTGTATAGAATTTTACCCCTCACCTTACAATATATGATTTTATATCCTTTTGATATTCGAGTTTATAATTTTATACCCTCATAATATTCAAGTTTATGATGTCATACCCTCTTAAAGTTGTAAAGTGAGGGGTAAAGTTCCACACATTAGAATACCAGAAAGGTATAAAATCATATTATGAGGTATAAAATCATATATTATAAGATGAGGGGTAAAATTCTACACACTTAAAAAGTTGAAGGGCAATCTGTGGAATTTTACCAATAAAAGGTATGCATAATTTTTCTTAGTACCACCACAATAGGAAACTGTGGCTTCTCACCCAAATCAACAAATCTTAAGTCACTAATCACTTCGAACAATCCTAAGGAAAAATTATTTTTTCTATAAAAATATGTATTGGTAAGTAAGGTTGTAAGGTTGTGAAATTTTTGAAATAAAAATATGTGTTCTTTAATTATTTTTTAATTTAGTTAAGTAAAAATTATTTTTTTCTATAAAAAACTAAGTACAAATTATAATTATTAAAAATATATATTAATAACTTGTTAAAAAATTTATTTTTAAAAATATTTTAAGTAATTAAAAATTAAAAATTTTATATTAAAAATCTCAAATTCAACACAAATGAAAAGAGATAAGGAAAATGGGTATTCTATAACAAGGGAAAAAAAAAAACTTGTTAAGAAATCTTCTTAATTTTATGGTTACCAAACATAAGCTAAGATAAAATTACCTAGCATGAAATTGGTGTACTTTAGCACAATTCTTTTTCAGAGGCGAAAATGACGTGGTACGTAACTCGATTTCAGATGAATGGAGAGCAATGTAATTAGAGGAATGCTAGCTGCACTCGCCTTTCTCCACCACTCTCCAATACTCTCTCATGTAAAATGTCCACGTAACAAAATTTGGCTCGCAATTCAAAGCTTCCAACTAGAAAAGTTCACGTGGCTATTTTAGATGAGGGAGTGTTGGAGAGTGCTGAAGAAAGGCGAGTGCAGCTAGCATTCCTCATGTAATTATTGAATGCATAGAAGGTTAGTAGAAAAAAAAAAAAGAAGAAAGAGAAAGGTGGCGTCTGTTTATTTAAAGGTTAAATGCTAAATTTAGTCCCTCAACTTTACGAAATGAACATTTTTGGTCCCTCAACAATTTTTTACACTTTTTTGATCCCTTGACTTTAAAAATTGCACAGTTTTTGTCCTTCCGTCAGTTAAGTGTGATGTGGCAGTTAAATAATTTTACGTGGCATTATCTTTTAATTTTTTTGATGATGTGGCAATAATATATATTATAATTATATTATATAAATAAATAAAAATGCCACATATATTAATATTTATATTTTAATTAAAAACAAATACAATTAC